TTCAGGTAAGTACACAGAAGCAGAAAAAACAGATTGCAGAGTTAAAGACTTTGACCTATGTTTTATATCATTACAGTGATATAAAACATTTTATGTTATGAAGATTTATGACACTGTGGTGCTTCAGCTTGCTTCCTACTGTTAGTATGAGGAATCTTCATAGTAGCCTATAACAGAATAAAAAAAATCTTGAAAAAATATCAGTCAATCTTGACGTACATTAAATCACAAATATTTTTAAATGCCAAAGAAAGGCTCAACAATAAGGATTTTTTTCTGCTGGTCAGGTCGGATTGGATTTCCCGACGTGCATACATTTTTTTTTATTTTTATAGAAAAACCCGACCCGAGACAGACCCGATGAAATTAGACCCGAGTCCAACCCGACAGCATTTATTTTCCAACCCGACTGGACCCGAACGTAAACGTGTACAGCCTGCAGCCCCGCAGTCAGTCAGGAAAAATCCCGGTGTCCTGCTGACTGATTTGGCTGGTTTCCATTACTTTGATTTATTTAACATTTATTCAATTTATTATTAGGCTACTTTATATTAGTGCCTGCCTGATGGATACAAGTTATTTCTGAGCTCGGCTTTCAATTGTGACCAGTGGATTTGAAAAATAAATGTGATAGTTTTATAAAAAATAAATCGATAGCCTAATAATTAATGGATTCGCTAGTGTTGTCTGCAACCTGATCTCTGGCGAAAGGCTTCTGCACACACAAAAAAAAAGCCCTGCATGAACACGCAGCATAATGAAGCGAGTGAATTTTCCTGATGGATCTCATATCTATAAGATGATGTCTGTGTGCTCCTTTTCTATGCGTGTTCCTCTCTTAACACGAAAGTGAAAGTAACCTACGCATTCGGGATACTTTAAAAGAATTCGGGTCTAATCGGGTCCATTTGGGAAAAGCATGTTTATTTTAAATTACCCGAGACTCGAGGCCGCTAATACCGAACCCGACCCATGTCCGAGGTAGGCCTACTCGATGAAGTTTTGGACCCGAACCCGCTCGGGTCGGACCTCGGGTTTTCGGATCCAAGTGGACCCGTGAAGACCTCTAGTTCAGATCACCTGTATACTTTGTAAAGTCCAAATTATTAGTGTTATTAATTAATTAATTAGCTAGCTAGCTAACCAGACTGAAGGCTCAAAACTTAAAAAGTAAAATCAAAATCATCAGATATTGTACCAGCCACAACAAGCTGTATTATTATTATTATTATTTTTTTTTTTTTACATTTAGTAATTTAGCAGATGCTTTGATCCAAATCAACTTAAAAACGAGAAGCACCACAAGCAATTTATCATATTAGAGTCAACAGTACTGGCAGGAAATGGCCCGAGTAGACTTTACCTGGTACAGTTTAATGATGTGTGGATGGTCCAGCATTTTCATGATCTGCACTTCACGATAGATCTTCTCCAGGTTCACAGCATCCAATTGGGTCTTGTCGATGATCTTTATAGCCACCTGTTGAACGAAGGGCACAGAAACACACTTTCATTGGCACAGAGCCTAATGCCTCAAGCTACTCAGTGAAATTCATTAGTCTTGTTGCTGTCTGCAGTGCAAGTCGATCCAGTCTTCACAAGCCCAGTGCGGATCAAAGGCAGAATACATGTGAGCAAAGCACACCTGAGCGTCTGGTTAACGGCTTAACTACTGAAGTAGGCTAATGATCCGAATTATATTATCATTTTCCCACAGGCTTTTCATCATTTGCCAGACAAATGGGAGAAGAACAGGAGTAATTTACCATTTCATAACCACTCATACTTCAATCCCCCTTTTGACTGTATAATAATAATATTCAGGTAAGTACACAGAAGCAGAAAAAACTGATTGCAGAGTTAAAGACTTTGACCTATGTTTTATATCATTACAGTGATATAAAACATTTTATGTTATGAAGATTTATGACACTGTGGTGCTTCAGCTTGCTTCCTACTGTTAGTATGAGGAATCTTCATAGTAGCCTATAACAGAATAAAAAAAATCTTGAAAAAATATCAGTCAATCTTGACGTACATTAAATCACAAATATTTTTAAATGCCAAAGAAAGGCTCAACAATAAGGATTTTTTTCTGCTGGTCAGGTCGGATTGGATTTTACCCTGCCAACATTTTCAACAGTCCTACCATAATTTATATATATTTTCCAACATTGTTGCATTACAAAACATTAAAAATAATGTTTTGAAAAATAAATTGGTGGGCCCAGTAAAATTTTGGTAAGGCCTGCAAAAATCCAAACCTAGTATAAAATACCTAGTGCAATACACACACACACACACACATACATACATACATACATACATACATATATACACACATATATACACACATATATATATATATTCTATAAAAATATATATTAAATGTAACTATATTAATATATTAATATACAAAAGGCTCACAAAGACTTGAGAGGGTGGCATATGATAAAAAAAATATATAAATACTGATTGATTTATAATTGTAACTTATGCTTTAAATATTTGTTTTCACGCAATTTCAACAAAACATCATCTATGTTTGCCAGGGTAGCATCTTGGTGACATCAAACAGGAGAGCGTTTAGGAGCGCGGCGATGTGTCACACCACCTCCTCCGATACAACAGCGCTCTAATATTTCAGCTGTGTTTGCGAGAGCACACGAGTTGACTTGCAGGAGGCATCATGTTCTCTGGTTGACGTGCATTGACGTCAGCGCCTATGGGGGTATTTGTACAAGGGGCGGGGCTTCGAAGCGCTTCCACACTCCAGTGCCAATTCGTTTCCAAGACGACCAGACCCACCTCTTGAGTCAACGGCCAGAGCGTCGCTGTGTTTGTCGAGCGCTGGCTGTGAAAGCCTGCCGACAGCAACTTTGATAAAGTCTCTCGCGAACTTCAGTCGAGGAATGAGAGCCGAGGGCGATGCGCTGTGGTTTTCCGGCTTTATTGAATCTTAAGTATATATTAAATCTGGGGTTTTCAATCTTTTAAATTCCACGGAGACTCTTAATAGTTATCTGTGTAAAGACCCCATTTATACTGTACTGTACTGTTAGATGCATTAGTATATTTTCTTTATTTAAATATATATACTTATTTACATTTAATGTATTATTTAAATCGTGTTTTTTATTATTTATAATAAAAAACATTTAAACATTTCTATGAACCCCCTTTGCAGCCTCCTGGAGGTCCCCGGACTCTTAATCGTCTTAAGTAATCACATTTTGACATCTAGGGCACTAAGTCAAATGTTTGCAACCCAACCCTGTAGACATCAAAGCAGGCGTGGCACATATTTGCTCAATTACATAATCATAATCACTATATCATATAAAGCAGAATTTTGTCACAAACATATGTCTGAAGAATCAACTGAGCGAGAGATGTATTGGACAGTATTCAACAATTTATACAACAGTTTAATAAACAAGTCATGCATATCAAGAGTATGTGAGCGTAGAAACGCATTACAGACAGTGCATGTCTTGTATTGGAAAATGTAGTTTAAACACCTCCATGACACAAGTGCAACAAACGTCCTCAAAAGCGGCACGTAATTCAGGTTTAGGTGGCCTATCATATGGCGACATCTCCCGGTCACATGCTGTACTGCAGTCACTCAGGTCTAATATACTTCACTGCTCCTACAGCTCTGATGACCTCAGGGAATTCAGCTGAATAATAATAATGCATTTCCAAAGCAGAACGTTTAGCTCAAAATATTTGCAATAAATTGAGTGACGCAGTCAATAAAAAGGGTACAAAATGTGGTTTGGAAAATGAGTCATCTCTGAACCCCATGTGAAGTTATAGCTAAGCAAGCAGCAGCAGCAGTGACATTTGACGATATGGAAAAGGTAGAGATCAATTCTTAGCATTCATAACAAAAGCCACTGAATAAGATTTCCAAAAAAGTCAATTTTTTTTATTATACAATTAAATAAAATAATTTGTTAGGGTTACATTGCTTCAAGGACTGACCATTCCCATGACTTTTGCAGTCAAAAACATTTTACAGAGACTGCAATCAACTTCTTACCAATTATAACTAACAAGAAAAATGTATATTCACTATAAAAATATACATTCTTCCTTTCCAGGCCTGTTTTTAAAATTCCCTAACATTTCCAGGTTTTCCAGGAGTGCGGGAACAATGTTGATTAAACACAAACACATCCATTAAAAGCTATTCTGTGCTCAAGAATAAGTCCAAATAATTTGACAAAGATATTATTATTATTAGGACAAACAACATATCTTTTACAATCCAAAATACAGCAAAAAAAACCTCATTATTTATCTTTTTGCTCATCATTTGATATCTAAAAGCAAAATACATATTCAATATGTTACAATAATGTTTTATACAAATCCTTTAATTCAGTTTTTACTCAAAAGAGCTTATGAAGCAACTACACAGTCTTCAAAAACAGAGGAACAGCAGTAGGTATCCTTTAGAGAGGCCATTCTCAGAGACACAGAAGGATGTTGTTGAGATGGGCTGAGAGGTCAACTCACTGTTTTGTGAATTTCCAAATGGAAGGTCCTGTTCCAGGATGCCAGCTTCCACAGAGGAAGCTCTCACAAGCCGATGACACCTTTATGCTTCTTTGGATAGTCAGTTATGGGAATCTATACACCCCTGCATTAGACCCCCAATGACTTCCCCACCAGGTCACATAGTGCACATCAAAGAGCAGACATACAGACTAGAGATGAGATCAAACATGGTGGGAGAGCCAGACACACTAGTGGAAGAGACTTTACCAGTCAGTATACACTGTATAGTGTTTTAGTATCCATAGATGTCATTGTCCACCCATCCAGCCTCTACTGCGGAGGACCCCCGGCAGGTCTCGTAGATGTCATTAGTGACAAAACCGCACTGCGTGGGCCGGCTCAGGACGTTCTCGTATTCCTCAAACTGACTGTTTGCAGACGTCATGCTAAATGTTCTGTTAATTTCAGAGCTATTAGGACAAACAACATATCTTTTACAATCCAAAATACAGCAAAAAAAACCTCATTATTTATCTTTTTGCTCATCATTTGATATCTAAAAGCAAAATACATATTCAATATGTTACAATAATGTTTTATATATACAAATCCTTTAATTCAGTTTTTACTCAAAAGAGCTTATGAAGCAACTACACAGTCTTCAAAAACAGGGGAACAGCAGTAGGTATCCTTTAGAGAGGCCATTCTCAGAGACACAGAAGGATGTTGTTGAGATGGGCTGAGAGGTCAACTCACTGTTTTGTGAATTTCCAAATGGAAGGTCCTGTTCCAGGATGCCAGCTTCCACAGAGGAAGCTCTCACAAGCCGATGACACCTTTATGCTTCTTTGGATAGTCAGTTATGGGAATCTATACACCCCTGCATTAGACCCCCAATGACTTCCCCACCAGGTCACATAGTGCACATCAAAGAGCAGACATACAGACTAGAGATGAGATCAAACATGGTGGGAGAGCCAGACACACTAGTGGAAGAGACTTTACCAGTCAGTATACACTGTATAGTGTTTTAGTATCCATAGATGTCATTGTCCACCCATCCAGCCTCTACTGCGGAGGACCCCCGGCAGGTCTCGTAGATGTCATTAGTGACAAAACCACACTGCGTGGGCCGGCTCAGGACGTTCTCGTATTCCTCAAACTGACTGTTTGCAGACGTCATGCTAAATGTTCTGTTAATTTCAGAGCTCATGTACTCCAGATGAGCTCCAGACTGGTTGAATTTGTCGGTGCGTTCATAATCCTTCTGACTTTTTGGAGCTACGGGATGCACCCACTGTCCTGGCACGGCATAGATTTCATTCTGTTCTTTTCTCCTGCAAAGACACAGTCAGAGAGTATATTATATGGCAGGCTGACAGACAAAATAGTTCATAGAGAATAACAAACTAAGAAATGATAAAAATGTTTGCAGTCCATTATATACCTTCTTGACATGACTCTGAAGCAGAACACCCCCGACACCACCAATATCAACAGCAGCATTACAGGCAGTGTGGCGAGGAGGATGTAGTAAATATTAGTGTCATCTGAAATAGAAACTAAGAGAAAGTCCATCATTATTAAAAAAAAAGTTCTATATATATAATTCAACCAATATTCTATTGACCATTAATTTCTGAAATACCTGATGACTCAGAGAGTTCAGTTTTTATCCTGTCATTGTCCACTGTAATGGGCGGCAGGTGCTTTGGCACCAGAGTCAGGTCATCAGCACCTAAAAACAAGAATCACTGTGAATGATAAATAAGCATTTATGGTGTTTGGCCTTGATCTATTATGGATTTTGAGCCTGACTACTGTAAGCAAAAGTACTTCCACCACTAGAGGCCATCATAAGTATTATTATCTATCTTTTTAAAGTAATAATTCACCTCAATATTAAAATTCTGTCCTTTTTTATGTCCTCATTTACACATTCTCATGGCCTTTTAAACCTATATAATTGTTTTTACTCTGTGCTGAATGTTATTGCTTTTCCATGTGATTCAAGTGAACAGGAGAGTAAATGATTATTTTAATTTTTGTGTTATTTTAGAATTGATATACTATTATATTACATATTAATATTTTGACTTACCTTTTATTTTAATACATTCCGTTTTAATTTTAAGTTTTAGTAATTTTGTTATATGCTTTTGTTTTCTATTGATTTTTATTTTAACATTTCTATTTAGCTTTCATTTTGTCTTATATCAGTTTTAGTTTTAGTAATTTTAGTACTTCCGCTTGCACTTATTTATCTCAATTTACCAAGGCAGCATTTCCAATTTTTTTTTCGAAAAAAGTTTTTGATCTAATATTTATTTTATGATGATAACACTGGTAAATGATAAGACAATTTACACTTTTTTGGGAACTATCCCTTTAATCTTCAAGTTTTGTGGGCTATGTCAGAAAAAAAGTAGCAAACGCACCAGAGAAAAGCTAAGGATTTGTTTACCTGCGAGTGTTGTGATATTTCCTGCCGGAGTGGGGACAGGATGCTTCTCTAAACACATACAGGAGGCAGCAGAGTTTACATTTGAAGTCCTCTTACATAACATGTTAACACTAAAGATGCTTGTCTCAGATTGGTTGCCTATTAAATATCTTAATGTGACAGCTAACATTAACATAAGTAAAAGCCTACCGTCTGAGTACTTGCAGATGAAATTATTCTTGGAATTGCAGTTGTAGTCAGTCCACTTGAACAGGTCGTGCTCCTTCTGGCCAGAAGAAGATGAGGGCCTGTAGAATAAGGCCACACACTGATCAAGGCCACACGAGGGCTCTGTCACCAGCCAGTTCCTGGAAAATCACAGACTCACTGAAAATTCTATATTAGATTTACTATTTTGCTTTCACTTAAATGCACAGTTCACCAAAAAAATTGAAAATTCTGTCATAATTTTTTATTTATTTTTAATTTTCAAATAGCTTTGATTTTTACATTTACAGTTTTTTCTTAGTTTTTAGTCATTTTTTAATGTGCTTTTGCCATTTTTTTTATTTCTATATAGCTTTAATCCCCCCTCCCCATTTTATTAATTCTAATACTACAACCAAACGTGCAAAAAAATTAAAATTAATAAAAAATTTTTTTAAATCAATCATTCATAAGAATATTTCAGGGTATTACTGCAAATATCCTACCTGAATGTGGCCTGACTGTAATCCAACCAGTAATAATGTGATGAACAATCCGCATTATATTGTGAGCTCCTTCGTAGCCCAATCCAAAAGTCTCCATCAGAGGCCCTGAGCTCCTGCACAAATCTCTCCACCAGACGCTGCTCATTCTCGGTCTCAATACTGAGCAGCTCTCCATCATCCTCCCTGCATTTCTGTCTGGCTGCCTCAAAGCTTGCTCTGAGCCTGCTGTCCTGGAAGCTTGTGATCTTATAGCAGGGCTTCTCTGTCCCTCTCCGGCATATCCTGTGATCTGCAAACCACATCACCAAAAAACACTGATGTTAGGGTTGAACCTGAAGTACTATTATGGAAATATTGCAGGAACCGTTATAGGAAAGTTGGCGCAGGGACATATGCGAGCAAAGAGAGGAAGAAACCAGTAGAACTTCCACAAAGTGTCAGGCGGAAAATCCTCTCAAGCAAAGCCATGTGTGCGACAGCCATCAGCCATATCCTCCCTGACTAAACAGCTGCCTGTGACCCATATATAAAACCCTTCTTATCCGTAAACTGTACATAAACAAACCACTGTACATAAAAGTACTCCGTGATTAAGCGTTTGTTGCATCAGCTGACGCTTGTATTCGTTAAATATGGTTCTGCAAAACAAAGGCTTCAGAAATCTTTGTTTAAAAAGACTGCAGTCTCTTAACCGAAACTATCGTATTATTAGACTGTCATTATTAAATACTGTGCACTAAAGAAGCATACCAAATCTAACGAAGATCATTTGAATATCACTGTGCATGAACCGACATTTTTACATAAACAAGCACAAACTCACCACCGAACGCGCTCGATGCGCAGCAGGGATGGAAACAAACGGCCAAAACAGTTCCGATCAGTTTCATGAACTCCATCTCTACATAGTTTCAATGGGTGTGCGATTGCCACGACACGACTGTTTCTAGATCCTGCCAAAACGTCCCGCTGTCAGACAAAACCAACGCAAGCAAATTTTCACTCTGACTCCAAAATGTTTGCTCGAGCCTGCTAGCTGAGGCTGCTGTAGCTGTTTTTGCGCTCCCACTCATTACGTGTGAATTGTACAAGTGTTCCGAAGTAGTTTTTTCCTACAATGCATATCTTTTGTTCACTATTTTTAAATAAACAAGCTAATAATACATTAGTTAACACATTTTAAAAAGGTTACACAAATGTATTTATGTGCGTGTTTAGGCTTATTTTTTTCCATGTCACTTTGTTTCTTCATTGGAACGGGTTTGGAGAAATTTAGCATCACATCACTTGCTCACCAGTGGATCCTCTGCAGTGAATGGGTGCCGTCAGAATGAGAGGCCAAACAGCTGATAAAAACATCATAATAATCCACAAGTATAATCCATGACTCCAGTTCATCAATGAATGTCTTGTTAAGTGAAAAGCTGCTTGTGTGTAAGAAACAAATCCATCATTAAGGTGTCCATAATCCATAATAACGCTTCCTCCAGTGAAAAAGCCCATCAGTTGTCCTCTCACATCAAAATTCACCAACATATTTGTTTAGAACTGTTTTGGAGTGTTTTCGCTTATGAACAGTGCTTGATCTGTACATACAGTATTTCTCTCCTGATTCAGATGAGACGACTTTTTCACTTGAGAAAGCAACGTCATGGATAGAGGATTTTAGCTGGAAGCAATGGTTTGAAGTGAAGTGATTTGTTTAGTATAAAACATGCAGCTTTTTGCTTCACAAGACGTTAATTGATGGATGGAGTTGCGTGGATTACTTGTGGGTTATTGTGATGTTTTGATCAGCTGTTTGGACTCTCATTCTGACGGCACCTATTCACTGCAGATGATCCATTGGTGAACAAGTGATGTAATGCTAAATTTCTCCAAATCTGGTCAGATGAAGAAACAAACTCATCCACATCTTGGATGGCCTGAGGGTGAGTAAATATTTTCAGCAAATAGGCTATTTATTTTTGGATGAACTGTTCCTTAATTATCTTTAAATTGTTAAATTGCCAAATTGTTGTTTTATTTTTATTTTGTAGTGCTTTGCCTTTTGTATGTTAAATATGTTGCAGGATATAAGTGATAAGTAACCATGTGCATAATCTTTTAGCAATGTTTTGTGCTTTTCCTGTATCACTAACACATTACTAAACATCAATCACTGTGGTTTCTACAGTTCATATAAAATCTGTTCAGAGACATGTAGTGCGGAGGGACCAATTTTGATTGGCTCACTAGCAAACTGGCAGAGGAAATAAGATGACTTTTTATGAGGTTGACTGGTCTGTGCAAGTCAAAGGAGCTCAGTCACTGCTGTTGACCCTGCCAGCTCACAGTCAGCCGCACACTATCCTCAGGAATAGGAAGCCAGTCAGGAAAGGAAGCACACAGTTTTCCAACAGCCTGTTTCCTCTTCATTTTTGTGGGGTTTTTTTGTGTGTCCTTTTTCATTTCCAGACATTTCCCCCTTGACCCGACAAAGAAAATAAATTCATTAAACAGCTTAAGCTGGGAAATATAAACTATAAAAACTTTTCTGGCATGCGTGGCAGTTACAAGAGGCCTACTTAGTAAAATTCTTGGTAGAGGCAACCTCCTACAGTGTTACTGTGTAATCACAGTGAAATCTTTGTAGGGTATTATGAACAGATCCTGCAGATGTCATGAGGTTTTGGAGAAATAAGGGTGAGGCCATCAGGCCAGTGGCATTGCATGTGTAGTTTGTTTGTACTGATCTCTGGCAGGCTGCCCGGACTCATTACCCCTCCTCACTGAATGTAGTCTGTCATGTCACTCAAGTCATTTCTTTTGAGAACCACTAACTTCTGAACGTATGCTTGACGTTAGTATTGAAACCTTTTGAAAAACAGCACAATTGTGAGTGTTTTTGCTTTGTTCTGTTTACATCATTAGGCGTTTGCATTATTTACATTGTTCTATTATTCTATTACGTTAATATTGGAGAATTCGCATTATACAGCAGCATGTCTCCAAGCACACATTAGTGACGTTTCGTTCCAAAATAAAACTTTTAATAATTTGTTTGAGTGAATGATTCAATGACTCACTTATTACCAGAGGCTAATACTGCTCTCACTATTTCTGTCATAAAAAGATATTAGAGAAATAGAAAGTATGCGATGCTATTCCAGAATCAGCGTTTTTGAATGAATGATTGAATGACTCATTCATAAAGATTGCTGTAACAATGCAACCTATGTCATCACTCCTAAACCCATTCCGATTCGGGGACCGTAACTAGCTGTTGTGTATACCTGGATATTAAAATGACTATTTTCACAGAATGCCTTCCTGGCATTTTAGGTTGTGCTTATTTAAAATAATCTACAGTAACATGCAGCTTGTACATTTTGTTTAGATATGTTCAGTTTGTGTCACCTTGTGTGGATGCTGCAGCCTGAATATTTATTGCACATGCATATAGAATGGACATTAAAGTTTATATCACTGAATGCTATGAATTTTCTATAACCTGGATGCAGGAAAGTATAATATTGCAGCAACCAGATATGAGTACTTAACAAGTACAGGCTGACTCTTGTAATAACTAAAAGAGAGGAGTTTGAGAAGACACCGGATCCACTGCCACTGCTTTCAATGACAACATAGACAGATATTGAACGGATTGAACTTCAGTATTTGTTAAAAAACATGTGAAAGTTCAACATTATGTCTGTTTATTTTGTGCTCGAAACATTAGCTATAGCAATAAACAAGATAATAGATGTAGTCAGGGAAGCGCCATATTTAATTTTTGACGGGAATGAACACGAGGCTGTGAGGGATTCAATTGTAGCCTACTGTTGTTTAACGATATATGGATTGTCCAGCTGACGAAACGTCTTTCCGAAGGAGAATAAATAAATAAAAAAATCGACAAAAACGCTATAAAACAGTGCCGTTGTTGTGAGTTGTGAAAATTATGCGATCTAGGATCATTATATAGTGCGTAAATTAGCAATGGCATCTTAATTATTATTAATTATTATTATTATTAGCCTATGTATTACAATACAATATAATATTACATTATATTAGGTCAATATAATATAATATAATATAATATAATATAATAATAATTATTATTATGAGGTATTAAGAGGTCATTGCTAATTTACTGTCAATAATTGGTGTTGCTATTTTAATTTTTTTGAACCAGCAGGTGGTAGCATTGTACTAGTACTATTTTACTATTGTACTACTATTTGTTCTGAAGAGCCTCAACCTTCCTTTCCTTTGTTCAGTTGTTAGATACTCTAATGCTGTCACAGTTGTCATCCTTTCAAATGCTTTCTACGAATCTCCACCCCCCAGTGGCAAAATTGGCAAGCATTGTTAATTTACAGATTGATTTACATGGCATTTTGCCATCAATCATAAAGGAGTCATGAATCATGATTTGACAACAGAGCTCTATTCTTTACAATGGTTTTCCTGCACTGTGTCTTCCACAAAATATGATTAAAATTACAATATAATATTATATTGCTAGCACATGAGATAGGACACGGACACAATGACAGATTTGTCTGCTTGGTTTTCTTTATGTTTTACTTTCTGTTCTCTTGTCACTGTGTCTACAGTTTGATTAAAATATGTATCCTGCAGTTAAAGGATGAAATCAAAATGTGAAGTTGTTGTAAATTCTTATTCATAGGAATGTTGCCTTATAAAGTTATGAATTATGGTTTATAAATTAAGTACAAACTGTACCCACTGTAGTCTTGAAGGAATCAATTCTGTCCTTATCTGACTGTCAAGTGGCTTGACTTATTGAACAAGTAAGAGTCTCATACTTCACACTATGCATTTTACAACCTCTCCAAATCAGATTTAGTGATCTCTGCAGTCACATGAATTAATCTAAATTGAGAATAAGACTGAAGAACACAGGGAGTTGTTTTGTCCAGTGGACAAGAACAGAAAATCATCAAGGTGTGACACATCCAAGCATAATATGTGAAATATGTTCTCACACCAAGGGGCTTTTTGGCACAAGTGTATGTGCTTCATTCAAAGTTCTTTGTCAGATTTCAGCATCACTCAGTCAAAACGGACCCTTTAGCCTTTAGCAGGGGTGTCTTGATCTAGCTGCTCTCAGAACACAATAGATGAGGCTTACATGCAAGCCAGACGAACAAAGGCTATTTTTGGCGTTCTGTGTTTCATACCTTGTGGCACATTATCACATTTCTCGTATTCATAATGTTCTATTCCCAGGAGATGATGCAACATTTTATGTTTCAAATGATTTATACACAGCAGACTCTTAATTTACGTTCTAAGACTTTGACATTTAATATTGTTACAGAAAAATATCTGTTCTCAGATGGACAAAATAGACAAAGTAAGAATTCTGGACAGTTTTTACAGTTGGTTCACACAGACAACAACACATCTGAAAGTTTAAAGATATGGATTTTCATGTAATACACAACATGACAAAAACATCAGTGTTACAACAAACCATATTTGTTTGTATGAGTAAATGTCGCTCAAAATCGTTTACTCTCATTGAAACAAACCATACAACTAACACAATTTCACATTAATAGCCACCAGGATGCCTATAGTGTGCTATTCAAGACTTTATTTCTATAAACAGATTTAATTAATGCATTTCACATTATATACATACAAATTGCAGATGTCAATGTACATAGTAGCTTCCAGATTACACATAATATATCGTAAACCTGATTCCAATTGCACTTCACATGTAAAAAATGATGGCAAAATGCTTTCGATCATAGAATAATGCTAACCTATTAACATATACAGTGGGGCAAAAAAGTATTTAGTCAGCCACCAATTGTGCAAGTTCTCCCACTTAAAAAGATGAGAGAGGCCTGTAATTTTCATCATAGGTATACCTCAACTATGAGAGAGTTTTCTACATCTTTATTGTCATAATCACATATTTATCAGTCTTCATTTATAGTGACTTATCTGAATAACAGAACTGGTATCTCTTGGATATGCTTCAAATCTCACTGTCACTGTATTAAAGGAACTGTCATTGTTAACCAGAAGCA